CCCGCCACAACGCCCGGCTATTTTTTGGTTGCAGCCGTCATTCGTCATTGCTGTTTGGCGGCCCCTGGCTGGATTCGAACCCGCCACCTTGTGTGTCCGTGGCTGGCACCTTAGCCACTTGAGCCACAGGTGCCGAGCCTGAGGAAGTTTTTATAATAAACCAGTATTTGCTGATAAATACCATGCCAGGTCCCATGGGCTCTGAGATAGCTAGACTGAATCACTGGAACTACACTAGTCACTCACAGATGCAATTAAGACTCCCAGGAGTTCTGAGAGGAACACAGATAGAGTGGGACCCAAAGAAGTGGAGTTCAGCTTGGGTCACCTTAAGGAAGACTCAAAACTTGAGCTATGGCAGGGTGCCATGGCTTACACCTGTAATCCTAACACTCTAGGAGGCTGAGGCAAGGTATAATCTGAGCTCATGAGTTCGAGACCTGCCTGAGCAAGAGCAAGACCCAGTATCTAAAAATAGCTGGTGGGCTCTGCACCTGTAGCTCAGCAGCTATGGTACCAGGTATATACATAGGAGCTGGCAGTTTTCAATCCAGCCCAGGCCTGCCAAACAATGATAACTACAACCAAAAAATAGCTGGGTGTTGTGTCAAGTGCCTATAGTCGCATCTATTTGGGAGGCTAAGGCAAGAAAATCGCTTAAGTCCGAGAGTTTGAGGTTACTGTGAGCTGTGATGCTACAGCACTCTACTAAGAATATAGTGAGACTCTCCCAAAAAGGGGGGGGGGCGATGCCTGTGGCTCAAAGGAGTAGGGCGCTGGCCCCATATGCAGGAGGTGCCGGTTTTAAACATAGCCCCAGCCAAAAAACTGCAAAAAAAAAAAACACGAAAAACTTGAGCTATGACAATGAAATGTTTTACTGTAAAGAGAAATTGGCAGCTCCTGTCACTCAGAGAGTAGGGCACTGGCTCCTGGTATATGCAACAAAAAATAGCTGGGTGTTGTGGTGGGCGCCTGTAGTCTCAGCTACTTGGGAAGCTGAGACAAGAGAACCACCAAAGCCCAAGAGCTGGAGGTTGCTGTGAGCTGTGACACCACAGCACTCAACCAAGAGCAACAAAGTGAGAATCTGTCTCTAAATAAAAATAAAGAAAAATTATATACGTATATAAATCATCATATTGTGTATATATTTATAAACTATATATTTATATGTATAATTATGTATATATAAAAAACAAAACAGGAGCTGGGCACGGTGGCTCACGCCTGTAATCCCAGCACTGTGGGAGGCTGAGGAGGGAGAATTGCTTGAGTTCAGGAGTTCATGACTCGCCTGAGCGAGAGTGAGACCCCCAACTCGTGAAAAAAATGAAAGAACCCAGCTGGGCGCCACAGAGAGCACCCATAATCCCAGCGGCTTCTGGAGGCTAAGGCAGTGGGATGCCCACAAGCCAGAGTCTGAGGGTGCAGAGAGCTACCAAGCCACTGCACTCTGCTCAGGGGCATAGAGTGGGACTCTTGTCACAGTCTCAACAACAACAAAACAGGATAAAGCTGAAGTGGAGAGGCCTTATAGCCAGAGGGAGGTGAGCCCATGCAGGAGTTCTGATAAGGGAGCCAGAGCAGATACAGAGGGCCCCTCATATTTTAGTGACCTAAGTGTAGACAGAGGGGCAGGGTGGTAGCAAAGATCCGTGCTTAGGCCCAGAAGAAAAGTGGGTTGGTTCAGACACAGGAAAAGGCCTTAAACCACCAATTTGAGCACAAATCTGAGACCCCAGAACCTCTGGCCCACATTCTCGACTGGGTGACACTGCCAACATGTCTCTGGGTTCTTGTCTGTCCACACAGAAGCTGAACCCACGCCTTGCAGACTCCCCTGCACTGCGATAAGAAATGGCTCCAGGTGTGTCTTAAAAGATTATTGGCATCAGAGCCAATTGAAGGAGAGATTAGACTTAAGTGGTAACTGGGAAGCAGCAGCTGGCCTCTAAGATATGCCTTTATCCTGGGCCTAAATGCACAATTACATGTAAGTCTGGGTAGGGCACAGTCAGAAGGACCAGTTAAATTGTACATCTTTTCCCTGAATACATGAGGCAGCAACTGATGAGAAAAGCATCAGAGCAGATAGAGTACTGGGCAGCATTATGGAAAACTTGTAACAAAATAATGGCATAAGAACTTGTAACATCGGGCTCGGCACCTGTGGCTCAAGCGGCTAAGGTGCCAGCCACATACACCTAAGGGGGCAGGTTCGAATCCCCAGCCCGGGCCCACCAAACAACGATAGCTGCAACCAAAAAAATGGCCGGGTGTTGTGGCAGGTGGCTGTGGTCCCAGCTACTTGGGAGGCTGAGGCAGGAGACTCGCTTGAGCCCAGGAGTTG